CCAAGGGGACTGTGCCCCAAGTGTGCCCACCCTACCTGACCCCTTAAATGCCAGCTTCTCTGCAGAACTGAGGTTTACCAGTCACCACCAGGAAATGCTACCATTGCTGTGAGGAGTAGCTTCCACTGAGCCAGCTTCTGCCACGTGTTCCTACGTCCTTTATCATGAAGGTCCCTTTGCACGCCCATGGTACCCCTCCTTCACAGGGTTGTCCTGGGGAGCCAACAGTGTTGCAGTTAGGTTCCAACTAAGAACGACCCTATGGATCACAGAACAAAACTGCCCAGTCCCGTGCCGTCCTCACAATGGCTTTTATCATGGCGCCCGTGTATACTGCCCCTGGGTCCATTCATCTCATCGAAGGTCTTCTTCCTTTCACTGCCCCTCCACTTTACCAACCATGAGGTCCAGTGTCTCCTGATCCCAGTGACTTCTGCGCCAAGCAATGAGACTATCTGACCACCAGATGGCATCGTTGTCAAGCAAACGATTCATTGGGCCCCATGTGTTGTCCTATACGATGGGTTTTGTTTGTTTTGAGTGCCTGGATGGGTTTTGCTTGCAGGGAAGTCTCAAAACCAGAGACCTTCCAAAGGCAAGTGCATCGGGGGTGCCCCCACAAGGAGAAGAGAGCCAGGGAACTCCAGGTGACACAGCTCGGTAAGAAGATGGGAAGGCTGGGCCCCAGAGCTCCCAAAGGCAGCAGCAATGGTGCCGGGATCATCAGAACGAATGACAGGGTTTGATCTTCTCTTTGGTGTGGCGGTGGTGGTGGCACAATGGTTGGTTGATCATCTTCTACTTACAAGGTCAGCGGTTCAAGGTCACCCCAGAGACTTCGTGGGAGGAAAGGTCTGGAAACTTGCTCTCCTAAAGAGTCTGTGTGACCTAGGAAACACTATTGGGGCAGTTCTGCTCTGTCCCACGGGGTGGCTATGGATCAGAATCTCCTTTTTGGGGGTCGCAGCTATTTTATGAGTTAGAATCGACTCAACAGCAACAGATTGAGTTTAAAGCAACTGGATACAGAACATTTGAGTTTGGTGTGGTCTTGGGAAGATGGCAAGGCAGAGGCGTCTGACACCCTCGAACGTCCCAAGGTGTGGAAGGAGGCCAATGGGCTGAATCACTGTCCACATTAGCTTGAGGTGGCCAATGCCTATGATTGGATCCTAGCCACCTCCCCGGCGGCACTCTCTACCGCTGCAGTGTTGGCTAATCCATTGCGAGGACCACACAGAACTGACAGACCACACATTCACAGTTGTGGCATTCTATAGGGGCCCCAGGGCACAGTGATTTATTCAGTACAGTCTCTTCCTCTAACCCATGTGGGTGTAGCCTTGTGGCCCCTGGACCTCTCCTGTGCTCAGGGAAGGGCTATACGACTCATCGACTCATCGTTCTGCCAGGTGTGTGTCTAGAGGGTCCCAGCTCCACCAGTCTTAGCTCTAAGACGCTCAGCTCTGCGGATTGGCCCCACCTAGGGCCTGGGAGGAATGCCATGCTGCTGGCGTGGCCAAATTCTTTCAACCCTGCCAATAAGGTGGCAGTGGCTTAGAAACATCACACTCGGGGAGAGTGGGGAAGGAGGGGGAAAATGAGCTGATGCCAGGGGCTTAAGTGGAGAGCAAATGTTTTGAGAACGATGGGGGTGATGAATGTGCAAATGTGCTTTATACAACTGATGTATGTATGGATTGTGATAAGAGTTGTATGAGCCCCTAATAAAAGGATTAAAAAAGAAACCACGATCTGAACTCCCGGCTCTGCTGCGACTGCCCCTCGCCAGTGCTCTTCCTTGTTGCTGTCACAGCTCTCTCCTGAATCGGGGAGGGTCAACACAGGCATCTGGGGTCTAAGGAGCACGCTCCCCAGGTAGCTCTTTGTGTGGAAAGTGGTGTGATCCCCTTCTTTCTGCTCTTGGGGTGGCTTATATAAAGATGGCAACATGGAAAAGCTAATTTTTTTGTGGGGTTCCATGTGTCTTATCTGTATA